AGGAGACGGAAGAGAGGGAATCTGTGGAGGAGGAGGAGGAGAAGGAGGAGGAGGAGGAGGAGGAGGAAAGCCGGAGGAGGAGGAAAGCAGGAGGAGGAGGAGGAAGAAGAGGAGGAGGAGAGATGAGGATGAGGGGGAGGAGGAGGGAGGAAGGAGGAGGAGGGGGAGGAGGGGGAGGAGGGGAGAGGGAGGGAGGGGAGGAGGATGAGGAGGAGGAGCAGGAGGAGGAGGAGGGAGGAGGAGGAGGAGGAGGCGAGGCGGAGGCGGAGGCGGAGGCGGAGGAGGAGGAGGAGGAGGAAGAGGAGGAGGAGGAGGAGGAGGAGGAGGAGGGGAGAGGAGGAGGAGACGGAGGGGCGGAGGAGGAGGCGGAGGAGGCGGAGGAGGCGGGGAGGCGGAGATGGCGGAGGAGGCGGAGAGGCGGAGGAGCGGAGGAGGCGAGGAGGAGGAGGAGGCGGAGGAGGCGGAGGAGGCGGAGGAGGCGGAGGAGGCGGAGGAGGCGGAGGAGGCGGAGGAGGAGGAGGAGGAGGAGGAGGAGGAGGAGGAGGAGGACAAGGAGGGTCAGGAGGAGGAGGAGGAGGCGGAGGAGGCGGAGGAGGTGGAGGAGGAGGAGGAGAAGGATGAGGAGGAGGCGGAGGAGGAGGAGGAATAATAATAAGAAGACGAATGCGAAACATACTAATGCGAGTAAAAATGAGAAGACGACGAAGAGGAATCATAATACTACTAATAATAATCATACGAATAATAGAATGAATCATAATCAGAAGAATAAGACGACGAAGAAGACTAAGACGATTACTACTACTACTACTACTACTACTACTACTACTACTACTACTCATAATACTAATGATAACCATAATACTAATACTACTGATACTTATAATACTACTAATACTAATAACAATGATAATAGTATTAATAATAGTAATACTAATACTACTAATACTAATACTAATAAAAATAATGATATTAATAATACTGATACTAAGAATACTACTACTACTACCACTACTACTACTACTAATAATAATAATAATATACAAATAATAATGATAATAATAACACTACTAATAATACTATTCAGACTGATAATACTAATAATACTGACAATACTAATAATACTAATACTAATAATAAGAAGACGAATAATAATGATAATGATACTAAATACCCAGGGACGTACCCAACCCATTCGCACCAGGATGCATCATCAAGTGGCTGCTCCAAAACGACTCAACATGCGCTGGGCCTCCCAGGAGCCCGCGAACGTGCCGACAGTTGCGCAGTTGGCAGCTCCCCCCGCAGGGAGCCGCGAGGTCCCGACGCGATCCGCGTGTCCCCCCTTTCCGCCGGGCCTCCCAGGAGCCCACGAAAGTGCCGACAGTTGCGCAGTTGGCAGTTGGCAGCTCCCCCCGCAGGGAGCCGCGAGGTCCCGACGCGATCCGCGTGTCCCCCCACTCCGCTGGGCCTCCCAGGAGCCCACGAACGTGCCAACAGTTGCGCAGTTGGCAGCTCCCCCCGCAAGGAGCCGCGAGGTCCCGACGCGATCCGCGTGTAACCCCACTCCGCTGGGCCTCCCAGGAGCCCACGAAAGTGCCGACAGTTGCGCAGTTGCAGCTCCCCCCGCAGGGAGCCGCGAGGTCCCGACGCGATCCGCGTGTCACCCCCACTCCGCTGGGCCTCCCAGGAGCCCACGAAAGTGCCGACAGTTGCGCATGTTGGCAGCTCCCCCCGCAGGGAGCCGCGAGGTCCCGACGCGATCCGCGTGTCACCCCCACTCCGCTGGGCCTCCCAGGAGCCCACGAAAGTGCCGACAGTTGCGCAGTTGGCAGCTCCCCCCGCAGGGAGCCGCGAGGTCCCGACGCGATCCGCGTGTCCCCCCACTCCGCTGGCCTCCCAGGAGCCACGAAAGTGCCGACAGTTGCGCAGCTGGCAGGCTCCTCCCCCCACTCCGCTGGGCCTCCCAGGAGCCCACGAAAGTGCCGACAGTTGCGCAGTTCGCAGCTCCCCCCGCAGGGAGCCGCGAGGTCCGACGCGATCCGCGTGCAACCCCACTCCGCTGGGCCTCCCAGGAGCCCACGAAAGTGCCGACAGTTGCGCAGTTGGCAGCTCCCCCCCGCAGGGAGCCGCGAGGTCCCGACGCCGACTCCGCTGGGCCTCCCAGGAGCCCACGAAAGTGCCACAATTGCGCAGTTGGCAACTCCCTCCGCTGAGGGCTGGGCCTCCCAGGAGCCCACGAAAGTGCCGACAGTTGCGCAGTTGGCAGCTCCCCCCGCAGGGAGCCGCGATGTCCCGACAAGATCCGTGTGTCCCCCCACTCCGCTGGGCTTCTCAGGAGCCCACGAAAGTGCCGACAGTTGCGCAGTTGGCAGCTCCCCCCGCAGGGAGCCGCGAGGTCCCGACGCGATCCGCATGCCCCCCCACTCCGCTGGGCCTCCCAGGAGCCCACGAAAGTGCCGACAGTTGCGCAGTTGGCAGCTCCCCCCGCAGGGAGCCGCGAGGTCCCGACGCGATCCGCGTGTCCCCCCACTCCGCTGAGCCTCCCAGGAGCCCACGAAAGTGCCGACAGTTGCGCAATCGCAGCCCCCCAGAAGGTGCCGCGAGGAGGATGTAGGAGGGAGGAGGGAGGTGGGCGGGAGGACGGGGCGACCAGAGTGCTCTATTCAAAACGAGTACCCAACCAAGGGAGGGTTGGGAATAATAATAATAAGAAGACGACGAAGACGAATAATACTACGAATGGTACTATAAGGCGAATAAATATTAATAATAATACTAAAGAATAGTAGCAATAATAAGAGTACTAAGACACATAGGAAAACGAATGATAAGATGACTAAGAGGAAGACGAATCCGAATCATACTAATTCTCGTAATCACAATACTAATAAGGCGAATGGTATTTATTAACAAGAACAGTACGACTACTATGAAGCATAATAGGAAGAGTAATAATACGGCTAATAATAATACTAAGACGTACTAATGAGACTACCACAATATAATACTAATACGAAAACTACGAATAATACGACGAACGCTACGAATAATACTACTAATACTAGAAAGAAGACTGATACTAATAAACCGAATAGTAAGAACACTGCCAATACGACCAATACGACGAATTTTACGAATAACAATAATAATAACAATACTAATACTAATAAGAGGACGAAGAAGAATACTCATCCTATGAATACTAATAAGAATAATAATCAGACGACTGATAATGATACGATTACTAGTAAGAATAAGAAGAATACTACGAATAATAATAAGAAGCATAATCCGACGAATACGAATAACCATACGAACATTAATAATACTTTTCATAATAGTATTATTTTTTACTAATCTTAATACTAATAAGCGAATAATAATACGAATAAGATTATTATTACACATAATATTAATAATAAGAATAATGATGATAATGAGAATACGAATGATACGAATACTAATAATACTACTAATAAGAATAATACAAATCAAATTAATAATAATACGGCGAACAAAACTACTAACAATAATAGTAAGACGGATACTAATACTAATAAGAAGAATAAAGCGAATACCACTACTACAAATAATAAGACTAATAATGTATAATAATACTCAGACGAATAATAATATTAACATTAATAAAATGAATAGCAATAGTAAACATAATAATAATACTAAGAAGACTGAGACGAGTAATAATAATACTAAGAAGAATACTACGAGTACCAATAGTAATAATATTAATAATATTATTAATAATAGAAATTATAAGAAGACTACGAATAATAGTAAGAAGTCTAAGACGAATAAGAATAATACTAATAATAATAGTAGTAATAGTAACACTAATAATACTAATAGTATAAAAATTGTATTAGTAGTAGTAATAATAATAATCATAGTAATAATAATAATAATAATCATACTAATGCTAATACTAATACTACTACTACTAATACTAATAATACTAATAAGAGGAGGAGGAGAAGGAGGAGGAGGAGAAGGAGGAGGAGGACGAGGAGGAGGAGGAGGAGGAGGAGGAGGAGGAGGAGGAGGAGGAGGAGGAGGAGGAGGAGGAGGAGGAGGAGGAGGAGGAGGAGGAGGAGGAGGAGGAGGAGGAAGAGGCGCAGGAGGCGGAGGAGGCGGAGGAAGCGGATGATGAGGAGGAGGAGCGGAGGGAGGCGGAGAGGCGGGGAGGCGGAGGAGGCGGAGGAGGCGGAGGAGGCGGAGGAGGCGGAGGAGGCGGAGGAGGAGGAGGAGGAGGAGGAGGAGGAGGAGGAGGAGGAGGAGGAGGAGCGGGAAGAGGAGGAGGAGGAGGAGCATTTCGGAGCATGCGCCAAATGATAGCGAAATTCGTTCCTCAAGGGTGCACCAAGACGAACATATACTTTGGGATAGGACAAGAGCTGAACGCCGGCCCACTTGCGGTCACCTTCCCCGAGTTGGTGTACCGCCTCCGGTGGTGCTGGGGTGAACGAAAAACCCACCTCTGGAGACGATACAGGTCCTGATTTTGCAGACCCCGCTGCGCCGACCCTAGTACTACGGGCCAGCTACGCGGACCCAGGATGGCAAACGTGGGCCTCACCTGTGCATCGAACCCATGGTGCGAGGGAGTTGAACCCTCTACCACAGCAAGAAAACGGCCGCCCGCTTGTCCCCAACGCCCATGCGTCGACTCAAAGTGACAGCGTGCCCTTCGCGTTAGGTGGCCCTGACACCAGGGTGCGGGACCATGTCCCTGCGAAGGGCGAGGAGGAGGAGGCGAGGAGGAGGAGGAGGAGGAGGAGGAGGAGGAGGAGGAGGAGGAGGAGGATGAGGAGGAGGAGGAGGAGGAGGGAGGAGCAGGAGGAGGAGGAGGAGGAGGAGGAGCAGGAGCAGGAGGAGGAGGAGGAGGAGGAGGAGGAGGAGGAGGAGGAGGACAAGGTGCCCTGCAGAAGCTGCTGCCGACCCTGCTGCCGCGGCTCCTCTGCTCGCTCCGCGGCTGCGAGGGCGTCTCCCTGCGCGTCCTCCAAAAGGTCTTCCAGGACGCGGCGGAGTTCTCCCTCTCTGGGGCGGCCCTGCCGCCCCGGCGGCCCCACCCCTCCCGAGGGGCAGGGGGCCGGCAAAGCGATGGAGCCGACCCGGCCGTGCCGATGTGAACACCCCCGCAGACACGCGGGGGCGTCCACGGGGGGAGGGGGCGGGTGAGGACTGGTCGCCATGGGGGCAGCGGGTCCTGAGGGAAACGGGTCGCAGGTTTCGGGTTCTCGTGGCCTTCTATGGGCCCCGGGACTGCCAGGTAACGACGCAGGATAAAGAAGTGGTCCTGGGGGAAGACCCCAGTGTCTAGGACCTGTTTCCCTCAGGACCCGCTTCCCCCATGCTGGACTAGACATGCTGGACTAGAGTCGGGGAACCAGCAAGGGCATCAGCACAAACTTCGGAGGTCCGCGCTGACCTCCGAAAATTTATGTTCATGCCATTGTCTGTTCCCCCAGAAGGGGAGGTGGAGATCTTGGTGGGGGCCACGATCTCTCCCTGGATCTCATGGTCCCCCTCCTTCTTTCGATGCGTCCCTTGATCCCCGCTCTGTCCGAGCACATGCCTCAGGCCATCATTTGCGAAACCCTCTCTTGTACCCCCATCTGTTTGAGGAGCAAGAGTTCATGATCATGATATTTCAGATTTTTCAGGTCTCCAGGGATCTCTGGATTTCCTGACGTTCCACACGTGCTGCAGACACGAGGGCCGCTGGGTCCTTCTTGGCAATCGTGGAACGCACCTGGAGCCATTCCCATCATGACATCATCCTCGTCCTGCTCGTGGCCGCCCCCCTGAACGCACGGATCCAGCAGTTTTCCAGTGCTTCTGCTCAGTGCCTCGCCAGCCTGGCCAGGGCCCGCTCCGTCGTTCTCTCGGGCGCGCCCCGCCCCTCGGAGGGGGGTGCGACCGCCGTGGCCCTGCCGCACCCCGTCATCGTGGCCCTCGACACCTTCTCGGCCCAGTCGCTCCAGATCATGCGCGTGCAGCTGCGGGGCCTGCCTTCGGTGGCCTCGACGCTCCAAACTTCCCGGTGATCAAGGGGCGGGGGAGTGACAGGAGTGCAAAACGGGCCGCGACCGAGTCCCCCTGGCACCGGCCCCCAAATCCGACCCCCCCCCCTCCCCCCGCGCCCTTTGGGACGCTCCAAGGCCAGCCCCCCCCCCCCGGCATGCCAACCCTGGCTGGAAGCGTTTGATCCCTACCTCCCCCCTGCATACCCCCCCCCCCCCGCACACAGCGAGAAATGCCCCCCCCCCCCCCCCAGTCATTTTTGACGGACGCGCCACAGCCAATCCCTCCGGCATTCAAGCGGCGATTGCATTAGCGTGCG